GGCTTAGACATACATGGTCTTTAGCTTTCTAGTTATGTTAATAATAGAAGTAAATATATATAAACCATAACATATATTTGACAACGAAAAGATCAAACGTTACTCAATTGTTTATGAAATTATTTATTAATCTTGTAACAAATTTGAAAACTTTTTATAACTTTCAAGTGCATGGATGGCGTAGTGGATTTGGCGGCCACCTCGACGCTTCCTGCTACGCTGAATGTTGTGGGTTCGATCCCCACATGGAGAACTTTGTGTGATCCACATATTTTTGTTCAGAGTGTGGGTATCCTTTGTGTCTGTTTTATGAATGGTTGTAAAGACCTCGCGACACAGGGTATATTCCTAGCGCGAGAGTTATCTAAATAAAAGGGAAAAAAAGCAATCTTAAAACGTATTTGAAAACTCTTTCTTCCTTTTACACCTAAAGATGTTTGTTCCTTCCACTTCGCGTGTATAATGCGTAGTAGCGTAGTAGTATATACCTCTGAAATCCAATTACTTTATTTCACAGTAGATGGGCTTTAATATCAAAGGCTTTAGACAATGACGCGATAAACTCTGTACGACATCATAAAAAGGGACGTTATTAAATAATTTTTGCAAGCAGCAACAAGTCGCAAGGACTTTATGTATGGTATGAGAGCTTAGTAGAATAAGTTTGAAGTACAAGATTTATTAAGATGTACATAAGACATGGTTATGTAGCAATTTTTCACTATGTTGAGGTCTCTTACCAGATAGTAAGCAGTTATCGGTGCCTTTACAACTTCAACAACCATCCAATGTTCTCCAAACGCTGTCTCAAGAGTAAGTTTTATGTTACCTCATATTTTAAGTTTTACATTTATTTTTGTTATAATCACAATCGTGTCTTTTAACGGGTGATGCCCTATCTCCCCAAGTTCCTAGTGCCCCAAAGCTTCTTATTTTAACTTAATTTTTACGTCACTACATAAAACGACTATCTTTCTCTGCTTAAGCTTTATTGAATCATATTTCTATTTTCAAAATTTGAATAATGTATTTTAGGTTTTAAGCATGGCAAAAAAACATTTTGTTACAATGAAATATTTGCGATTAGTATCAGAAAATTAGTTTTATAACTGTATTTTCATTATATTATAATGTAATGTATTGAGATTACAATGTAACATTATGATATTGGGGCAAACGAGCAGATAGTTTACTTGATGTAAAGTGTGTACCACCGCTCATAGTCGCCTACAACTCGGGAGTCACAACTTTATTTAGTATTATTAGACCTAAACTTGTCCTTTAGATATAGTTTAAGAAAATTACCTTCAAAGAACTTAAATGAAAACTAGGAATTCATCAGGTAGTTTCAAGTTTCCATCTTTACCTTTCTTGTCTTTTTAACTTAATGGTTTGTGTAAGTAAAACTTAACTAAAAACTGTAATTACCATGAATCATATAAGTTTTCATTCTATGTTTTTAAATTATGTATACACTATTTTCTACTTTATAGCACTTACCAGATTGGAAACTTGTTTACTCACATTTTATTCTCAACCATCCCAAGAAAATCAAATTAATATAGTTCTCCTATAAAAGACGTGACAATAATCCTCTTATATTTTTGTATGAAGTTTTTACATTAGACCGCAAAAAACTGGGGGAGTTTCTTTTGTTGTGTATGTTTTTATATTTATGTCTGTATTCTTTGTATTAGACGTGGACGGGGTCTAAGTGCACTTTTAGGATTATTGATTCGTGTTATGTTTCTTAAACTGTTGTATTGTCGTTTAATACCTTTTACGAGTAGTTTCTAGTAAAATATTAAAGACTTTTTATTTTATTTTAAGCAAAATATTTATTTTTTATTTCCTACTTGTATGATAATATTTATGTGAAACTGAATGAAGATGAAATGAAGTAAAAACTAGAGCTTAACACACACTGAACAAATAATCTAAAAACACGAGTACACAAATACACAATAAGCGTCCGTGAATGCCTTGTGAGCGTTCATTATGAACAGTTAAAAATGTTTAATTGCCATAACTTCTGTCAACTTTTAGCCAGCTGTCCAACTCCTGGTAACTGAACTTCATTCAGCGTGAGTGGCATACAGTTACGACTGTGGGCCTTATAACTAAATAAACCTTGGAGAGCATAACATAACGATAGGCTATACAGTTTTCCATCACGCTTCAAACAAGTGATACCAAATGTCTAAAACTCGTCAATCAATAGTTGCGTACCTTTGATTTTCCAAAGTGTCCTTCAGGGTCTACCCCTTATAGCAGAACTTTTTATCATATACGCAAAACTCATAATTTTGTAATTCACAATCTTCTTTAGGCATAAACTTCATATCCATAATAATTAAAAAGCAAAGCGTCTGTCAGAAAGTCTATCTATCCATCATGTTGTATTTGTTACCATAATGATAAAGCCAGCAAGCATGCAACATATCTGTCCGGCGGTCCCACGCGAGTTTACCGTTGCAGATGGCCGGCCAGCCTCAGTCGCGGCGGTGAGCCTTGAAACCACCTTCTCCTCAGCTCGCGGGCCGCGTCATCCCTCCGCCCCTACGCGGGCTTAAATTACACTCTGAGGGTAGGGCAGACAACACTACGTACAGTCGGTTTTGCAGCGATTCGTTTTTGTCACAAACTTTTGTAGCAAGACCTATGACTTTTTAAGATAATATTTTAAGTGCAAACATGCTATTTTAGGGCATTACGCATAATAAAATAATTCCAAATGAAATTGTACGAAATAATCGTCGCTCTAAGTAAACGTTATGCCAAACGAAATTATGCGGAATTTTAATTCTGCCCATGCTTAATAAAATTATGCCATTGTAAATTCGGACATATAAACATTCGTCCAAACAATAATTATACTAAATAATTTTTGTGCCTTAAAAATATTCGTTTGTAGGTATCTTGCCAAGTGTGTTATGTGAAATAAATTTCGGAGCATCAAGATTCTGCCAGATGGAGGGAACCATTTCATTATCCAAATAGAGTATTGATTAGTCCTTTTTGTTCATTCTCAGAAGTCATTTATTTTTTCAGAATGATTTATTTGTTCCTTCATATATTTTTTAGCAATTTCTTAAAAAAATCATTTAGTTTTTTTTATTACTATACCTACCTTCTATTCGGGGTTCATGGGTAATACACCATACTATTATAAAGTATATTTTGAAACTATTATAAAGTATACTTTGAAACTGATTTGATTTATTTGTGTATTCTTTATTAGTGTAGTAGTGGTTCACTCAGAATCGAAAGAAGTGCTTAATTTACTTGCAGAATCCTTGCATTTAAATGCACGACCATACATGATATAACGACATGCTGATAGAGTGATTTATAAAACTAGAGCGTAACGTAGAATGCACTTCTTGCTATCTAATATGGACCACAGGGTTAATGTAGGAATGAAAATTGTGATGGCAAGATTTCAAAAAGATACAGGAATAACATAACGCTTTCTGCAAAGTAGCAGCTCGGGGAAGTAACGACACACGTTGGGGGAGTTTTCTGCTATCAAACTGTTCCTCTACTTCTACTTCGTAAATCGTTTGATTGTAACGAATTACTTTAGTTTATACATACCAACTTTCATACCGTTTCAGCTTTATCCATATTTCTATGGGTGATGCATATATTAATAATAATTTAAATTGCATCATCAACAGCCTTTACTAGTCCACTGCTAGATACCGGCCTCCTTAGAAAGGAGGTATTGGCTACTACACCACGCTAGCTAGACGGGTTGGTATTGGATTTGTTTCAATGTGTCCTTCTCTTTGCAGTTCTATTGCCCTGCGTACTTTGCTCTCTTAGTCGGCTCTTACCACTTCCATGAAATGAATATGCGTGATGCAATCTTATCATTTAATACACGTTTCCAAAATATCTTAAATGAGTAAGTTTTCTATATATCAGATATTTTTGTGATATGTGCCTATAATTATAATAAGATTGTATGCAAGGGATAAAAATAATTATATTCTAAGAAAAACAACATTTTACCGTCCATAAACATTTATTAATATAATTTATCATTTTCCATATTCCAATATTAGTATTAATACAATTACCATACACCGATCAGAAACATAAAATATTTGAATCTACGTATAGAAGAATCTACATATAGGTTATAATAACATATATATGTTCACCTCCTATCCAAGACCCGCATAGAGTACATTAGAGATCAGTTTATTAATATTATATGAATGTATTGACACATTAATAGATATTTTAAAAATCTAAGTTGCCAATCGCAAATACAAGTGGCTTTGTTTTATATCAAGGCTTATTATAGCGTCTTTCACCAAGTTTTTCATTACCGTTACTCACTTATATGACTAGAACATTTACTTTAAAAGTTACATTTATATTTTTTTTCTATTTTGTAGTGATCTCTACTTCCTATTGACATAAATTTACCACCAAGTTAGCAGCTACTGCTTTATCTACGATTATCTTACTTACTCTACATACATACATGATTATAGAATAGTCGAACTGCCGTCAAGACGACGAGCCTCGTTGAAATCAAAAGCAAAACCAAATGTGTAAGGACCCGTCGCCGAAGGCAGTTACCGGTGTCTGATTCACCGAGCTTGGCGTCGAGGCGTACTGATTGGGCAATAAGGCTGGGTGATTGCCCAACCACGTAAGCGGACACTCGGCAAATCAGATAAAGAAAATGCTACAGTAACAAAACCGAGACATCAAAACTAAACCATTACTACAATTTTGTATATCATATAAGATCCAAAAATATTTCCAAACTAAAATCTAGGTCCCTGTTTTCAATTCGAATTTCTATGCGATTAGATTGAAGATATAATGATTAGAAGAGAGGGTAAGAAACTAAATAGGAAGTTAAACTTAAGAGGTCCGTGTTTAAATGCGTGAGTTGTCGCATCCGATGGAGCGGCGGTCAAGTCGGCTGGTGAGAGTTGGTCGTCGCTTCAAAGGAGCCGATATGCCGGTGTGGGAGACTACCCCCATTTTTGGAAGAGGCCCATACGTTGACAGCGGCAATTGGAGCCCCAGAGGTTGCACCTGCAGGATGAGGAATGGCAGCAGTCTCCGGGGCGGTGGTCGCAGTTGCCTCCTCGCCGCACACAGGCGCGCCTGAAAACGTAGATCAGCGACGAACGTCTGAAACCACATTGTCGAACGCTAGCCTAAGTTTGTGTTTAAGTGAATGCAACAGAGTCTTGCATTTACTTCAAGAGTTTACTTCATGTTTCTATCTTAATACGCCTTTTATGGCTTTTTCACATAGGGTAATGTACCGTAAGTCGGACGACTGAATTCCGGTTGGATATCAGTTCAGTGTCTGACATTTCGGGGCACCAGGGATTTAGTTTCTAGGGTACACCTGGTTCCCCGACTACTGGTACCTGAGACGGCGTGCGGCTTTAGTTGGTTCGAGTCCGACATTGCCACCGGTAAGTGGTATCCGAGGGGATTTCCGCACAGAAAAATAAAATAAAGTGTCTTACATCGCCAGTAGAATGAAAACCAAGGAACTTGGATTTATTTCATTTGTGATATGACAAATCAAAATCGATGAAAAGGTTTATTTATAAATGTATTTGTTTTATTATTTAGAGTCTAATGTTTACTCTTATTTGGTTAGAAAGTAGACTTATCAAATAACTATTGACACCGTTGATGTGCCCTTATCTCACAAATGATTTATATCGTTATCTAAGCTAATTTATTAGATTATTTATTACAGTTAATTCATTTATTTTACATAATAATTAAAATACAGTAGAAGAAGACTATTAAATTTAGTAATCAACACGCTTTAATAACACAACCCTTTTGGCTTAATTCCCGGGTCCTTTAAATTATACTAGATCTTTAATTCATATTTTCCGACCTACTTCGAAATAATATTACGTTATTTGTTTTAATCCTATAAGCTATTAGCTAAAATTAAATTTGAAAATTTACGTAAATATGAACAGAACTCACTTCCCAACATCCTGGAGTAACTGGAGATCAGCTGGGTCGTCTCCATAATCTTGCAAGTTTACTTCGACATCGTCTTCTCCTGATAAACATACATTAGAATTTTAGTTTCATGACTCATAAACTAGAGGACTAAACACGAAATGGATACTCTATCCTTTTCATGTATAAACATTTTTATTTATTGTTTTATTTTTTTAATGAAAGAGGGAGCAAACGAGAAGACGGGTCACTTGATGGAAAGTGACTACCGCCGCCCATGAACGCCTGCAACTCATAAGTAACAACGTATACGTAAACTTAAGTCAGAACAATATTCGCTATTAGTTCTAAGCGACTAGCTGCTTACAGCTCCTTTGATAAATCTCATTATTATTCTAGAACGGTACGATGAAACATATTTTTACGATTTATTAATTCTATCTTTCTAACAGGAGAAGGTAAGAGGCAATATCACTTAATATTTCTAACAATACTGTATGTCATATACATCGTCTGCGTGCTATCCAACCGGTAAGTGGATTAAGGAAACAACGTTAAAATATATCGACAGTGCCCAGATATTTTAACGTATTTTAACGTACTATTTATCGTGTTTTGTTAACCGTTTTAGGACAGGACATTTCTAAATGTCGGGGCTTCGTTGCACAAAATTAGCATGTACAATGAGCTTTATGTTACGTTTTTATTAGCCTCACTTGCAGTCCCACACGTAAGAAAATTTTGGAAATCAATTTTAACCTACTTTTACTTGGCGTATCAAAATCAATTTTTGTATGTATATAAAGTGTAAATAATAATACTATATTTTGGTATTTTAGAATGGATCTGATGATGGAACTAAGAAGTATTTACTTATAGTGAAACTGTTTAGAAGCTACCAGTAACCCCTTCAAGTTTGTTTTTCAATACTCAGTTATACTGTCAGACAACTAACTTGGGAATAAATGTATCTTGCTATTTATAAAGCGAATTAACATTTTCTGTTTTTCAATCGGTTAACACCCGATTGAAAAACAGAAAATACAGATAATTACTTGATGGTATTTCATGGCTAATTTCACTGTAAACATGCAAACAAGATGCCCAAGACCCTTTCTTATATCTCAAGACATAGCAAAATTTAAATACTTAATAAGAGCAACGTATATACACTTTACTACAACAAATATTAGAAACAAAAATGTAAAAAAATACACAATAGTCAAAATCACTATTCTACAGATAATATCACTGACTTAAACGACAGATACAGCTATACCCCAGATTTAAGCTTCATTCTTTAGATAATAGCTGTTTGACTATTGAAAAATCCTAAATTACGATAACTGTTTAATAAATGTTATCTGTTTATCTGAGGAGTGAAAAACCAGCCCATAGTAACAATGGCCTAACGATAAAACAAGATGAACTTTTCTTTTGTCATTTGCTTGGCGTATAAAGCATATTTATTTTTTTATTTTTCTAAATTGTAATTCATCAAAAACTACTTTTATTTGAGAGAGATTTATGTTACAGTCAATCAGTCAGTCAGTACAACAATAGTACAATGATATGTTCATACATATAAAACGTTAACTTGAAGTATGTAACATTAAACCCATACTATTTTCAACTCCTCCAATTTACTTGTGATTAAATTCCTTGCCGTTTCTCAAATAGTTTAACTTTCCCTGGGCTGCTGTCATTGCTTCTGGCTTACAAGCTCACGACAATAGGGTACGATGAATATCTATGAGATTACAGACATGTCTACACGAAGGGATCAAATGTTCAGCTATATCAAAACAACTAAGTCATTTATTAGACACACAAATTATTTTGAGCTATTTCATTTAATCCGAAATCGAACATCTCAGTCCGATTAATTGATGGGTTCGATTTCGTATTTCATTCGAATACTGTTGTAACAAGTTAGGTGTTTTTCAAATTAAAAATACAATACGACTTTTTTCAGTATGATTATTAACTTTAAAAATTAATTAGTTATGCTACTACGTGCTACTACGTGATTACTTTTACTATTCATTTTCGTTTTATTTTCAAATGCAGTGAAATTTTAAAAGCGTTATGTGTAGCCGAGTTATTCGAAAAATATGGATGTAAAAGAATGAACCTGTTACAAATGTGTTACCTGCTTTTAAACCTTTTTTTACAGTAATACAGTGCTTATTGTTAAAGTGACAGTCTGTATAGCTTTAATAGCTGAATTTAATTCAAACAATAAATTTAAAAATACAAGTAAATTTCTTAAAAGAATAGCATTAACTGTACAAAATACGAGCATATAAATAAAAATCCGTGTTCTCACAGCACAAGTGACATGCATATTTGGTATTATCGGCTTATCGGCTTATCTGAACTTTACACACATTGAGAATTCAGATACTATACCGGGATCAATGTAAGAGGCATGTGCCCACTCAGCGGCTAGCAGAACTGCCGCAAGAGCGAGCAAAAATGCGCCGGCGCGCGGCATACTGCCCGCGCACCAACCGCTGCTTGCCTGCAACATAACATAAAGAATATACATAAACATAATATAACAGTTTTTACCATTAGGAAAGTGATGTTTCTACCTATATCGGCTGGCTCACACGATACAATTGCTTGACAGAAAACCAGTATTATGTAATTCTTTCGTTGCATTTGACCGAGTTAGTGAGGTGACTATGGTTTCTTAGCATACACCCTCCCCCTCGCCAAATTCTGACAGGGCATTCAAAGGCCGGTGACATGATGCATAGTCGGCAATAGTCACTTATCACCAGGTGATCAGTCTATTAATTTACGTTCTGTACAATAAAAACAGAAGTCTTCTTCACCATTGAGATGTCTACCAGCATTCACGAGGCCCTTACAATAGCTGACGCGCGACCCTTCCTCTGCATCTCTCAAAAGAAATTAACGTTCCCCGTCCCCATGTTTTGCAATGTTTTTCCTTGAAGCTCAGCTCCTATTAGTCGTAGTGTTCCTGAGGTTAGGGCGTTCAACTTAAATAACAAACAAATAAACTCTTCAGATTTATAATATTAGTAGAGATAACAATATCTAAACAAACAGTTAAATTCTCAATATATAATACACAAAGAAACCAGAAGTAATTGAGTTTAACTTTCAATGTTCGTATTAAATATGTGTTATATTTATATATACGAGTATAATACGAGTATATGTACATGTATTTGCCATCATTTAAAATTGCAACTCTTTTAAAACATTAACTGCTATTTTAATGTCAGCCTTTAAATGATTTCTTAGTAATTAGTAATAATTATTCAAACAAACGAATATTACCTAAAATTGTTGGTAGCGGAATGCGTAGAATTGATTTTTCTGATTACAATGAAGCAATCTTCGAGGTACCTGTATCCTATCAAAAAAATCAAAATCAAAATACCTTGTAAAACGTCAGACATGGTACTTAAAAAAGGTTAACGTGAGAACCTTCTTGATTTATTGATCGGTTGTAAATATATATAGTTGCTGAAAGTCTTCTTTACTGAAATCTGTATACATGTGGTACTTATAATTCTACTGCAAATCCACGTTTGTATAGCTACCGAAATATATAGAAACAGATACTATGTAATTGGATGCAAGCGCCTGTATTTGGCTAATTGACCAATTCAAGCGTATGCATAAGCGGAACATCAATTCCGCAAACCAACAGCTACGTGCTGCAATAACCATGATGCCTTAAAGCAATTAAAATGATGATATTTAGTGCTACGCTTTTCCGTAGACTAGCTACGAAAATTATACGTAATACAGTATAGTGCTACACTTTTATCCCGGTTGCTACGAATGAGCTACTAGAGGCTTACGGTCGTCTCGCACTATTTCTCCCAAGATATCCGCTTTATTTGTGCTTACCCAGCTGTTAAGCCTGTTCTTTTGTAACGAGAGGCAAACGCCTTTCGACTTTATTACCTAGATAGGCCTCATAGCATTATGTCAATGAATTGCAATTAGTTGAATCGTTGAGGTAGCGACAATTTGATTGGTTTACTTGTTTTCGAAGTGTTTTCTTAAGTTTTATTTATATTATTGCTACTTTTGTTCAATTTTCTCAGAGCCTAAAGCATCTGTAGCGTATAAGCGAAAAGATGTCTTATAATTCCATATGACATACCTACATACTAAAGAGAGTACTTTCACACGGGCGATAAATTTGATCAACTTATATTATATATCTTATTATATTATATTATAACACTTATTGTAACTTATATATATATGTATATGTAAGTTACAATAAGTGTAATTTGAATAAGTTACACTTCACATCATCACATTAACAGCCTATAATAGTTCACTGCTGGATTAAAGGCCTATCCTTAGAAAGGAGGTTTTGGCCTACTATACTACGCTGGCCAGATGGGTTGGTATAGGGTTTGTGTCAAATTTTCCTTCTCTTTGCAGTGCTGTTGTCCTGCATAGTCTGCTCTCTTAGTCGGCTCTTACGACACCCACGGGATGAATAGGGGTGGTGGCATTACGTATTCTTAATCCATCACCACACGGATAAGTTACACTTAGTGTAATTTGAATTCGATCAACTAAAGTTTTTAATGGTATAGGGGGGCAAATGAGCAGACGGGTCACCTGATGGTAAGTGACTACAGCCGCTCACAGACACCTGCAACTTACGAGTCACATATGTGTTGCCGCCCCAAAAATTTGTGGGAGGATTTTGATTCCATTAACCTCACATCAAAGCATCTTAAGACCTGCTTAACATCAGGTTTCTGTGAAGCTGTCACTCCAGTCGAGCCTGGCTCATATGTGCTGTAGCATGGCTCTCCCATGAGAGCTGACTGGCCTGGCTTCGGCACAAATAAGTTACACTTAAGTTGATTACATAATAACATAAAATGACGTTTTTTAGTCTGTGCGATTACGTAAATTATGGTTACCATGTACATATGCTATTGGCTGCGGCTATTTACGAAAATTGGTAATCTAGTTGATGCGAGCCTCGATACCGAGCGTTTAGTAATGCATTTACCTAATTGGTGCGATCAATATGTGTCGGCATCGACCCAACTCACACAGTAACGATTAAACTAATTCGTAATAAAAGTTTTGACAGGAACTATCTAAACCTATATTCATCAGTGAACTACTAAAGGCTGTTGATGATGATGATGATTTGTTATACATCTTATTAGTTTTCCCCCTCTTTGTGTCGTGTTCTTCATTGCTGAGGGTCGTGACCTCATTATCCTCCGGACGATCGCTCTCCCCTTGTTATGAAATTCCGCAGTGTATATGGTTTGGGGACTTTTTTGTTGTGGGCCGGTGTTGCAGATCTTATCTGTCCAGTGCGAATCACTTCTTCAAGTGCAAATCTAAGAAGTCCAAGATCATTAATTTTAGTTGTTTGTTATAATAGGTTAAAAGTTACTCAAATCAGTGTTAGTATTTTTGTTAAACTAAATTGTATCTAATAATATTAAACATTCCAATTAGTATACAAAACCTTATTTATTTTTATGATTATTCACAAAATTAGTGCACATGGCACATCAAATTTTTATTAATGTATTGAACATACTGTTCAACGATTCAACAGGAAAAGTAAATCTATTTGTATAAAAACGTTATGTTATTTTATATACGCTTCAAAAACTCAAAAACTTCAGCACTGATTGAGCTCGCATTTTGACACGATGTACTGTTGTACAAGCTTCAAAGATTGTTTTTATCTATTTTTTGTGTCCGTATTATTCCTCATTTCTCATCAACTCAACCATAATGTGTCATAGTGTAGTGTGGCAGGATACAGCCATACAAGAATATAAAAATTATTTGTGTTAAAACTGTAAATTATCAACTAATTTAAATCGCTAGTGTGACAGACCTTAACACTACTTGTAAAGACATTGCCGCGGATAATCCCGGATTTGATAAAACAGCCTAATGAGTCGGTGATCCTGAATTTAAGACACGATTTGTGTCATTTTAACATTCATCGTTTTGTTAGTTTTTGTTGGAATATTTTACCCCTTACTTACTGTTTAAATTTGATAAATATTTCATTTGATTACAATATAGACTAATGATTATAAATATGTCAAAATATTTTCATTCATCTTAAGTATTTTGTGAGATGTGTAAAGTTCTTGTTGTTATTAATTTATTAAAAAGCGAAAAATCAAAGACAATATTGTCTAACATCAAATAACTGAACTTTTTGTCGCCTTTGTCCTTTTTATCCGACATTTTGACCGAACTCCATCGTGGTACAAAAAAATTGGATATGTAATATGACTATAGTAGTAGTCATATTACATATCCAATTTTCTTGTACCTTCTACTACTACCAACACTGACTTTAATAGGTTTCCTATGAGTCGTATGTGACCACATAAGAACAGATTTTTGTATAAACTACAGAAATGCTCAGCCCGAATTAAACAATCATAATAAAGAAGTTATCAAATGTCAACATTTCCAATACTTACAAAAGAAATATGATAAAAGTGAATATAGTCACTGAAACCTACTCTCTGAAAAATATTATAGACTATGGCTGATACATTTCAACATAAAGTTTCTCAACTTTTAGCAACGTGCTTTCAAAGTATGATCACGTTGAAGTATGTAAGTTATTTTTAATATGATATATATATTATAAAATGGTGACAATATTTTCAGAAGAAAAAAGAAAAAACGCAATAAATATAAACCAAGATAAAAGAGAAAAATAATAAATACAAATTAGTGACATGGAGGTTACGTAGGTAATATGGTGGTGGTTTCTATGCATAGAATAATTTCTACTATTAATTTTTTAGATACAGTTAAACTATTAAAGTTGCTTGCTCCTTGCTTTTAACCAAAATTGACAATTCTAGGTCAACCGGAAGTAAACGATAGGTTTTGGGTCGAAAACCTATATGGTAGTGCCCGTTGATTTATTATATAGTCGTTGTATTTTACTTTTTTCAAAACGTTCTGATGCAGGATTACGAAAATTCTTTCTACATGAAAGAATTTTCATAATCGTGCATCAGAACGTGTTAATTATTATTATGTTTTTATTGGCTAGTAACTAACTATGTAAGCAGATTCTTAGTAGATAGATCTAAGCGGTACTATAATTTTTTATCATTAAAATTATGTGATGACGGAGTTAAAAGGTGGAACACTAATCTTTTCGGTAGCTGCTAGTAAACATTTGAATTTGAACTCCTACTTTCATTTTTCAAATTAATTAGCTTGATAACCATGGCCTGATGAAATAGTTAAGAGTTGAATAGTTTTTTTGTCATAACACTGTAATTGTATATATTATACTCAATTGTTTCAATAATGTTTTACTAAATTGTGACAAAGATAGTCGGATAAGTTCTATAAAAGTATTCCAACCGCTCATCAAACTTGTTAACCATAAAGTCTTAAAGGATAGGAATAGTTTCACAACTTTGATTATATCTTCCCCTTTTGATTGGGTATATCGAGGCGTGAAATCACGATCAAATACGGCTCACTGATTGCAAAACTAAACCTGTTATTTTATTGTCTAGTAATACTGGTCCGATTATCGCAATATCCAATCGATGGTTATTTCACTGGGTTGATTATAGCTTAGGTAAGCCGACTAGCTCCTTTTAAATAACTGAAATGGTTACGTAGAAGTAATGTACATACACGTACTTTCGTACACTAATTGTAAATATAAATTTCTTATCAATAACGTATTGATTTAGTTTTTAATGGCAATTTTGACTGCTAGGCCAAAGGTTTGATTCCCACCCAAGATAAGTGTTGTGTGATGAGTACGATTATTGTACTGTCTCTGCGTGTTGTTTATTTATTATATGTACGTATTTAGAAATATCTAAACATGATTATTATTTTACCGTATGCGTAAAATATGTAACAAGTTATTATTTTTATTACTTAACATATTGTGATAGATGGGTAAGATCCAGCCATACCTACGGGTATAATAACGTGCATAAAACTTTATATTTGAAGTATAATTTTAACCCAGTAAATATAGAAAGAGCATTATTATCTCTTCTTATCCGTTTCTTAAGACTTGCCAGTGGTTGTCGGTCCGATTCTCGTCCATTGTGCTACCGATGCGAACCTACTCCTGACCACCATTTAGTTTAGCTAGAAGGGTTAAAAAGAATATTACTATTATGTATTCCACGTTGTTTGTATTATTTAAAAAAAATACCCAATGACTTATGCCATAAATATAGTAAGTATGAAAACAAAAAACATACCTACCGCATAAAAAAGGCAATATATAACTTACATTTATTCTCTGAATAAAGTAAATAATTTTTCACCAGGCATGCGTAAATGCATGTTGTCCTCTATGTAAATAAGTTATTTTTGAAAATGGAACATAACTATAATCGCTTTGCGGTTCGTTCTGTAATAGTTCAGATTTTTCCCCGTGTAGCTAAGTGCTTGTGTAGGAAAAGAGTATACTGGGTACTGCCCGAATCGCAGCTACGCGATCGCAATTAAAATTCCTAGTATTACCAATGACTTAGTATTGTATAATACAACTCAAATGGGCTTTCAGTGAATTGAACTTGTCGTAGTAACTTTTAGATACTATATCCACGTTACCGTCTTTTGTCTTCTTACAATGTAAAAAGCACATTTGTATTATATAAAAGGGACATAGGTGTAATAACCATTTGTTTCACTTTGCATTATTGTATACTTCGAAGCTAGAACATTGTAAAACATTGCCTATTTTTCTGTTAAATAAAGTTTTATCACGTTGTATTTTTTTAAAGTATTCAAAGGATCTGCTTGCGGCTTAAATGGCGCACCCACGGGGCGTTGGATTAGCATTCTACACAACATTTCCACTGAAAATATTTTAGAGTAGTGCTACCTAGAATTGTTAGATTACTGCTTTTCTACCTAGGTAATGTCAAAAAATCTTAGGATTAAAAGAAGGAGATTTGATGTTTGTAACGCACGGCTTCTGTTGTAAGTATTATGGTATGTCCCCTACATTGAAGCAATAAAGCATGTGATTGTTAACGAACTTTTTTTTATTTATGTATTTATTTGGAAACTTAACAACACTTAACATATCTCATGGATGAAGTTAAACATTGCAATGGAGTTTTAGCCAATAATAAAGTTTCAGTTTTAGTTAATAAACAAACACTGTATAAAGTGCGACCTGGTTATAACACTCGTAACAGCTGTGGTGAGCGTGTTGGCCTAATATTCTAGTAACTTTACACAAATCCAGAACGACTTTTTACTAGAACTACAGTTCGTTAATGTAATAATAACTACAGTTCGTGGTAAGTACTTTGTCGAACACGAACTTTCTACAAATTAGGTTTTCTCTCAATCTAATTATGAAGTAATTAAGTACTGTAAAGTGCAACTTCATAAAGGGTTTAAAGTTAAGAGCATCCAACCGGACTCCTTTTAGTAAGTACAATAATGGAGTACTCATGTTCCACTAAATCTATCGGGTTAAAGGTTGTAATGGCTTGTGATGCCATCCGTGAATGAAGCAGACCGTTAAAAGGTGTCCATCAAATTTGAGATAACACAATAGAAAGTGACCGTGGACCAATGTTCCGTATATACATATGTTTTATTACTATCAGAGTTCCGGTTATATATTTTATAAATAGGTTATTTCAAAGGGATTTTTACCAGATGCCAGTGCACACAGTTAACTTTATGAGCTGGAAAAGTGAAGATGGGGTAAAGTGGGTAGAAGAATTAGATTAAGTTTATATAACCTGGTTGTGGAAATTCTAGACAAAATCTAAATGGAAGTAAGTCTAGATAACGAAAAGAACTTCAAGTCACATTACTAAAATTATGTTAGAACGTATCTAAAAATAGTTTAGAAGTTTTTCTTTTAAAACCAAGTTCATGTACTCGTATGTAATCAAATATTTTATGGTAAATTTATGTTTTTTTTTATCATTTTTGTAACTGAAAATTAGTACAAAAGATGATGGATGATAGTAATATAATCACTTTTTGATATGAACGCCAAAAATACTGTAAATGTCATATCAAATTAGGGATAAAAAAAAAAATCAAATCTTCTCATTTTCAGGGATGACTGTCGATCGATGAAATGTTGATATGGGGAATCCTGGCCTTATATTGTTTCTCATCTTACTGTTTACAAGTTTACCTACCGTTAATTTAAAAAAAAAAACTATACGAGTATATTAATTGGTTAGTGGAGAGTAACGATTGTTGAGACGGGCTTAGGTCGTTATTTCGATTCGCACTCAGGATATATAATTCTAATATGATGTGTGCTGAATACGATCATTTGATCCAAGTAGAAATGTAATTAATCTATAAAATGTATGTTAAATACATACATTAACCCATATAAGTCTCTAAAACCCATTCAGTAATTTAGGACCCGTAATCAATCTATATTTAATTTAAATCTTGAAAACTCGTTCAATATATCATAGAATGTTATTGTTATTATTTCTAGTCAAAGGTCTGCGCCCTTATAGATGGTTAGAAGCTTTCAGAACGACTAATTATAATTAGAGTACCAAAGGGCTTCCCTTGCCACAAGCAATTAGCATTATTATTCCATGAGGCGGTGTTGACGGTCGTCTCGCTTCGAAACTCATGAAAAATTTAACACCGATCGATGATTGGGGGCAAAGAATTTATAAAACAACCCTCATGGGTGTTTAATACTTCTCCATTTCTCATCGACAAAAATAAAACCTAAGCCAATGTTATTACGAATGTGAGTTCATATTGTTAGTTATAGTACCTAAACTACCTACTCAACTGTTTTTTTAAGTACTGGAACTATAAATTATTTATTATTATTAAGAAATTCATTGGTTGAAATTCATTGAAAATAAGTAATATAATAAAATTATAATAAATAAAATATTTACATACGAGTACAAGATTCAAAAGAATCCTCTGCATCGTCGCCTACTGGTAGCGTTAAATTTATCAAACACATTGTCACCGACGTGTTGTTTTATGTGTAACAACTTTTCACAATAATGCGTGTTCACAATTGCGTGTATTTTATTCAGATAAAATGAAGCTTTTTTGATACAAAAATAACACTCGGCTTGAAAAACCCATATGAAAGCGATCGGCTCGGGTTACTTTTTTATGTTTTGTTTTCTATGTAACAAGAATATTACATTGTATTTTAGTAGAGAAGTTATGTTAGATAATCTAATAAACTAAAACAAAACGTAATATTGACTTAATAGGTATTATAATCGTTGTCATTTCTTTTATGACAATAATTTTAGTGGCACTTTCAAGTTTTGCAGGGAGCCTCCTCATCATCAACCTATAAAGCTAACTTCTTATCAAAAAACCAATGTAAACTGCTAATATTAAAGTTTGGTTATAAAAATGAAATCTCACATGTGAGAGTGTAATAATTATGTTTCCTAAAACCATCCATTTTCTCCATCGCATACGATAAATGCTAAGTTTCTTTAGATCATAAATAATCGCCTAAATTTATCTTTTAATTTTACTTTCAACCATAATTCACAGTGAATCCTTTTTTGATGCAATAAATCATACTTATATTAAACCTAGACTACTTTACTACAATTACTTAAATTGATAAATATACAGTTGAATTCTTAATAAATTTTAGTCGAATAATTTATAAGCTTTTGTCCGTGGCACCGCTCGCGTGTATGTAGGTAGCCTATGTCCTTCCTTAACAATTAAATTATCTCTATGCCAAATTTAATTAAAATTTGTTCAGCGGTTTAGACGAAAATCGTAATAGCCAGACAGACAGAGGTTACGCATTTATAATATTAGTAGGCATACGCATTTATAATACAAGTAAATCAAATTTTAACTCACTTCAAAAGAATACGGTTCTTAATTCCTCTGAATATCTTTTTATGTGAATGTTAAAATAATTGAAAAATAGAATTTGGCAGCACATTGGAGTAGTTTTTAACACACTGTGTGATAATCTACATGGTAATCAGACAGTCCTATTTTGTTTACATGCAACTATAACGCAATAACAATATTTCATTAGTCATCCATAACTTAAGACTTTTCTGGTGCTGTAGTCGATATACACCGAATTATTTGAAAATAAGGCGTATAGCCAAACAGAACACAGTATTTGTAAAAATCAAATGAATTCATATTTACTATTTTTAAATTACTTGGTAGCAATTTAAGATACTCCATCTTAAATTATTAGCAAGTTTTGTATTAGAGAACACATTGATTCTAATTCGTATCGTATCCAATCATCTGTATCCAACAGATCCTATAACGTTTCATAATACAATATTATTAACAAATAGGTATCATGGGCAGAGATATGATGGTAAGACGTGTGCTATTTTTAGCCGAAGTATAGTGAATATCTTGGTTAAGAATACGGAGTGTCACCGGGTGGTCTTAAGACACCCACGGTATGAATAAAGGTTATTTATCCCATGGGTGTCTTAAGGGCCGACTACAGCACTGCAAAGAGAAGGAAAACTTGAAGCAAACCAACCCGTCTGGAAAGCGTGGTCAGATCAACTTATTTTCGCGTTCGTACTCGTAATATTAATTAGGATTAATAATGCAGTATTCTGGAATCATTTTATAATAAGCGATTTCTAATGAACTTTGTAAATTTAGTCTCTATAATTCAATGGGAAAAAGCAAGAATACGCACTAAATTTCAATAATATACTATTTGAGTATTAACTAGTTTTCCTGGTAAAATAATTTTTAATATTTTCTTCATATTTGGTAAGTATACAATTAATGACTTTACCGAAATATTACCGAATATATTAATTGTTTTCGTTTTGAATACATTGACAGCTGGGATCTGGGATCTTACATATATTTTAAATAATCTCTAGTATAAAATCTGTAATTTCATCAAAAAATCCATCCATAAAATCTCTATTAAAAAGTAAATCAGTGGCCTTTTGTTTCCCCAACAATTTTGATATAATTTTAAATAAACAACAAGAACGTACAATAAACATCACCATCTGCCTACCCTTATCCCAATTTTATTGGGACGGAATGATAGAGTAGAAGAATCAAACCTACTGCAGGTTTGATTCTTCTACTCTATCATCCGTCTAGCCAAATTATTTCTAAACTACTAGATTGGCACTCTCTTATTGGATGACATAAAATATTATTAATATCGAAAGAAACTTCAACTTATTTAAAGTAGGACAGAATACAGGGAAAAAGTATCCGCAAGGGGGTAGGCAGAGGGGAGGGGTTGAAAATCCACATTTAACGATGTTGTTTGTCTGTGTATAATTTTTCTATTAATATGTTGGTATTTAGAAAAATATAAGTGAAGCTCTAAATTCGAGATCAGACCGCGTATGAGATACGTCAATTTGTTATTATTGTTTCTTACCATTTTGGAGAAATTACCTAAGTGTGCAAGTGCAAGTACATAAATACAAATTATTATTATATAATTACAATACACGTTTATTATTGAAAATAATTTCTTCTTATCGATTCCATTTTTTGTCCAAAATATCCTTAAAATTTATTCAATTTTAACGGTCGAAACTTAAAAGTATAAGTAAATAAGTTGCATAAAAACAAGACTACGTACGTACAACGTAAAACTCTCTCTGAAAAGTATTAAAAATAGTCAAATCTTGTCTTGTTGACATTCTTATCTACAAATTATTCAATATTTATCATAAAATAGGCAAATAACTTAAAAATACATGATAATTTAATGCTTATCCAGCCCCTAGGCTCAGGGGATAGCCATGATCTGCCATGATCTTATGAAATCTTACAATGAATGTTGTTTACACAATTTAAGATACTATTTTGATATTCGGCAAAAAAATATTTTTTATTTACACTTTATGCACTAATGTGACAAAGGCGGACTTAATGTCGTAGGCATTTCCTCCCAGTCAACCTTAGGGCGATGCAGAGCTAAAACATGGTAGATTCACTAAAGAAATTAAAAATGTGATTTTATGAAAAATATAGCATATATAGGATATCATATACCCAGAGTACTTATATTAGGTAATTACATTAGAATAAACATTACTTACATAACATTACATAACATATAATAACATTAATTATATTACATGTAAATAATACATATAGGTATATATACAATAAGTGATAATAATACTAACACATACAATAGTCAATAAGAGAGTCAATACATAAGTATTTATATATATATACGCACCTACACATAGATATAATTATATTATATATACACATATGCATATATTTATATATATATATACACATCCTGATCTCGAGAGAGAGCGCATTCCATAACAGAAGAAATTGTAGGTACCAGAAAAGTAGAATGTACGAAGTAAATATTCTAGTTGACTAGTTAAGTAAGAAGGAGCACTTGGAGAAAAGAGTAAAGTATATAGGGTAGTTAATGCCCGTGTCTCTCTGCGTTGGCAAATTGGAAGCCACTTCAAAAGGGAGCGATGCTGAGACACGTGATCATATTAGCGTAAATTGAAAACGAATCGAATGCAATTATTGAGAAGGCGGTCAAGCTTATTGAGGAGATCTGCATTCAGGTCAAATATTACCTTAGAAATATTTTTATTAATGATGACCATACGAATTACGTAGTGGAAATAATAATTTTCACAAATAAGGAAATCAGTCTGTATTTTACAGTAATGTCTGTTCTTATTTGCACAAGACTTAAGGCTTGACATACCCTTCGCTTTAACAAAGACGGCTGTTGAGGAACCATTTCTATGTATACGTATTCACAGGTCACAGAGTTTGTGAGAGATCAACACAGTGACTAAAGTTAGTCTCGGTGCTGGAAGGCAAAGATATATTATGAACCTTCATGATGTGTCTTTTGTAATTGTAACAAGCAGAATGTCTTAACTTAAATATAGGAAGAAATGATGCACATACCTAACTTACAAAAGCTCTGAGAAATAAAGACTGACTTTCAGCCAATATAAATATTATTTAAGCCCTGAGTCCTTAGATTATATGATTATGATATATGCTGGACTGCACTGATGGCCAAGTGGTTTAAGCGGTACGATCCCCATATGGGACAAGACTTTGTGTGATCTACAAATTGTTCTTCTGAGTGTAGGTGCTTTTTGTGTTCATTTCATAAGTCTGTAAAGTGTCACGTGACACGGAAGATATTCCTAGTCCCTGAACTAGGAATATATATTGCAATCTTGATTCTGCCTCTAGTGTGTCAACTATGTCTCCACTCCTGTTTAAATAAGAGCCACTTTGCACCAACAAAAGACGTAACACCGATCCAGTCTTTAAACCTATGACAGATGTCATTGCCGTGCGTTGACTTTGTTAGATAACACTGCTGGAGGAGTGTTATTTCTCGTTGGTGAAAACTGCGTTTGAATTTGATAGAATTTTGGACATAGAGTTAATACACTAGTGACAGCACTACTCGAATAGCAATACTCGCTCTAGGCGAATGAGAGACTCCAGTGAGATTGTTATATCACTCTTATTAAGCCGACCTATGTGAGAAAAAGCATAGCTTTCCCATGGTTAGATAAATTTCTTAATTTCTCTATTTATTTCGTCATCTTTATAAATAGTGCAGATCCTATTCTACTATTATACAATAAACAAC